GATTTGGATGTCTTTGATTCACTCCCTGATGATGATATTTATTTATATGTGGAGAATGACAACATCATCCGGGAAGATATTGATAAGAACTATGTTAACAAGAGTTGGGATGATCACATGGGGAGTGATACAGAGTCCAGAGGAGAGGTTGTGAATTTTCCTGATATTTGTGAGGAAGAAGAAGACTTTTCTATGGTGCAGTTTGATTACGGTGTTGCTCCTACTCCTTTCTTTGAAACATCTTTTGAGCTTCCGGTGATACCTAGAGTAATCAAAGTTTTGAATCATGTTCTCTGTCCACCCGAAGAGGATGAGAGTTTCATCCTTCACGTCTCTGCTGATGAGGGTTATGAAGACCATATGCTACATTCGTGGACTGAAGAATTTAAGAATCTGTGCCACTTAAAGGCATTTGTTGAGGGGAAGCTGGAAACGTTGGCTATTAGTGCACCACTACAGTCTATGCTATTTGAGAGTTTATGAGGTATCGTCGGGCAAACGACGTTAAAAATAACGCTGCTTGGGAGGCAACCCAAGCTTAGTTCTACACTTTTGTTTTTATTTGTTTGCTTTCAGAAAACCCCCGAAAAAAAAAACAAAAAAACCGGGGTGTTTTTTGTGTTTGTTCTTTGTGTTTTGTGTGTTTTGTTTTTGCAGCTCAGGGTCCTGTTTTGGGAATGATGTGCCGAAGATCACTTGACTCAATTTAGTTTTGCACCGACCAGCGCCTTAGGAAGTTTTCTGCGACTCTTATTATCGCTTGTTTTGTAAATGTTGACTTGAGTTGAGATTGAGCACGCATGAACCTTTCCCCTTTACCCCCTTGTGCATAGTACATTTTTGGTCATCGAGGGTGATGCCAAAGTTTAAGTGTGGGGGAGTGAATTGGGCATTCGGGCAGTAGTTGTTACATGTGATCATTAGAGTTAGCATGCGCAGGTGTTAGTTGTATATTCATAGGAAATTCATGTCAATTTTTTTGAAATTTTTTCTTTAAACTGTGTCTTTGTGAGCTGGCTAGCGTTTTGACTATGCTTTTAGGACATCTTTGAAGTGTTTAGGCTTAAATTGTTGCATAGTAGTCTAGTTGTTGAAAGGATGAAGGCATTAATCACCCATTGAATTAATTCATAAATCATTCACCCCACTTGAATAAATTCCTTTAGGAGAAGCCACTTTTATCCTGACTGTTTATTGTTTACCCAATTAATCAAGCTCCATAGCTAAATGGCATGTGCTTCCTTACCCGTGAATATTTCTGACATAGTCTTGGTGTTTAGGGAACTAGGGGATTAATTTGCTAAGTTTAGGGAATTTGGATAAGAGCCATTTTTGGCACTGTTCCTATGCCCCAAATGGGGTAAGAGCAGTCACTCTTTAGGAATTTGATATTTTCGAGGATTGCATTGTAGGCATGGATTCACTTTGAGTAAATGAACATTAATTGCTAATTTTTCCTTGGTGAGGCCGAGATTAGAATGAGGTAATGTCTAGTAAAAATCTAAAAAGTGAAAAAATTATTATAGCTAGACCTCTTACCTTGCGAAAAAGAGAATGGGAACCCCGGTCAAAAAGCGTAAGTGATCGCACAATAAGATGAGACTTGGGTATCTTTAGAAAGAAATGACGTTCTCATGCCACCATGATAAGGAAAACTGAACCTAATTAATTGAACTTGGAGGCTATAGCAAAAATTAGCTTTAGTCCTTCGCGTACTTCAAGTATACGTCAAAGCACAAATGTGCCGCGGCGGTTTAGCTTAGTTGTATACCATGTCTACTCTTTGCATAGGTTTAAATGATTATTCCTAAATTGTGGCCTACTAAATTCTTTGATCCTAAGAATAACCCCGAAATTCCTGAATGCATTGAATCTTTGTTAGAATGTTCCAATCTCTCAAAGAAAGGGACTAATATTGTTTATCCATAGACCATCCACCACCACCTTCACAAGTCCTTCTGATCGGTAGCTAGTTTATTAGTGCTTGCTGTCACTACTTTGAGGATGATGTGAATAATTTTGTCATTAATTTTAGTTTGAGTACAAAGATGTAGTATGTCTGTTCTGTGAATAACCCTTTAATTACGTGTGCATGCTAATTGTTTTAATTCCGTGTGGTGATTATCGTAACTCCCGTTGTTCAGTTTGCTTGAGGACAAACAAAGGCTTAAGTGTGGGGGAATCTGATAAGTCCGTATTTAGACACGCATTTGATGCGTGATTGGGATCGATTTTTTTATGGTTTTCCTAGATTTAAGGTGTTGCAAGTCTCAATTTTAGCTCAAGTTGTGTTTACCAGGCGTTGGTTCGAGTTTTGTATCATTTGGAGTCAGAATCAGGAATTTAGAGTTCGGCACCGGCGCTTGAGGAGCAATAGGGATGATTCGAGATGCATTCGAGAGTGATTTGAGAGCTTTAGAAGTCACCTGGAGGTTTACGATGAAGATTTGATGACAAAAGAGCTCTAGGATTGGCTACGGAATCAAAAGAAGACGATTAGAGCTGGAAAACGGCGATCAGGATGACCTTCTGTCAATCGTTCAAGCATATCTCTTTGTAAAAGCATCCAAAGGCCACGATTCAAGTTGAATATGAAATCCAAATTCAAGGGCTACAAATCATATGAAGCCATCATTCCGAAAATCTGAGAGGAGCAAGGTGAAAACAGACGATGAAGTCAGATGATCTCTGTTGCGATATCAGAATGACACCTTCCACCATTTTATTCATATCTCTTGATTGGATGATTCAAATACAATTCGGCAAGTTGGGGTGGATAGAGGACTTCATTATCTACAACTTTCATGAGAGAAGTTTTGTCAAATTCGGAAGTTTGACGCACGCCGTGCGTAGGGGAACGCACGTTCGTGCGTCCGAGGCGAGAAAGTGAGATAACCACTGCCATGTACGCACGATCGTGCATGGCAAGGGATGCACGATCGTGCGTACATACGGAACGCGGATTTCAACCTCGTTTTAGTCCCAGTTCAGCCCAAACTCATCTGTTTTCTATAAATAAGGTCTCCCTTCTCCTGTTTAAATGGTTACGAACATTACAGAGAGGCCTAGGGATGAATTTACTTGCATTTTTATGATTGTTTACTCCAAGACCCTGAGATTATTTGTAAATTCATCTTTTTAATTAATGACAATTATTTCTATTCATCCCAATTCCGTTGATTCTTCAATTATGAGTTGCGAGTAGTTTTAATTAGGGATTTGGGGTTGATGAAGGGGTTGATCATGATGTATGGCTAGATTCTTGTTAGATTAATTGCATGAATGTCGTTTAATTTGTGTTTGAATAATTTAATTGATATCTCTTGTAACCTAGAATGGCCGCTAGAATTATAATTGCTTGTAGAATAAATTAAGAGAGATCTAGTTTATTCTAGGACACATTCACACACACACTTAATCGTTCGCTAAGAGATTAGTAGCGATTAAGGGGCCGTAAGCTCACTCGTCTTGGCAATAATTTAGGATCCTGTCGCATGAGAGATCAGCCTGGTCCCCTAAATTATTGTACTCTACGCCGCGAGAGCGGTAAGAACTTAGTAATGATTAGCTAGGCTCAATTAAATAAATTTCATGTAATTAGGCCTGATCTGCCAGAAATCTAGTTACCCCGGAATCAATCCCTATTCCGTTCGTCGTTAATTAGAGAGAAACCAATTTTTTTATTTTTAATCGTTCATTCGTATTAGTTTAATTTCAAATCAACCAATCTCGCACGACGCATTTTTTATTTATTTCTTTTTAATCGCTGAATTTATTTAATCTTTAATTCCCTTTTGTCCGTCCCTGTGGAGACGATACTCGTACTTACACCACTATATTACGATCTATTTTAAATGCGAGAAAACTCACATCAAGTTGCTACATTACTATAGAGTTGACTTGAAGTGAAACTTGAAAATTATAGTTCTGGGTTATTAAATTTGTGATGTTGAAGGGATTCCTGAATTTTTAATGATGAATATCTTTGTTCTGAATTTTTAGAATTTGATGAATATGTGGAGTTTTTGTGTGGTGAACATGGAATTTTTCAATGATTTTTAGAACTATGGAATGTTTAATGAATTAATCTTTAAATGGTGTTGGGTTTAATGGTTTTGGAGAAGCTTGAATGTGTGATGCAATGAAGAAGTGCATTTAAATGTTTGGTTATAAAAGTTCATTGCAGTGTATGAGTTATGGCGTAATCTGAATATGTTCATGGCGCTGAATTTAATTTTAACTGCAATGATTGTAGATTAAAAGTACTGCAATGATTGTAGATTTAAAGTATTTTTTTGCAATACATTGCGTAATATGAATTTTTGTGTGTGCAATACATGGCATAATCTAAAAGTTCACTGCAGTGTATGAGTTAGGGTGTAATCTGAATATGTCAATGTCGCTAAAGTTAATTTTAACTGCAATGATTTTAGATTAAAACTATTTTTGTGCAATACATGACGTAATATGATTTTTTTTAGGTTCACTAGTTTCAATTTTTTTAGTGCACTAGTTTCAATTCAAAAATTAAAGTAACACAACACATTACATTACAAACTAACGTTGCGGAGTACAAGGGACAACAAAGTCCTAGACGTTATAGCTCAAGAGACGTAAAAAAAAGTGACTTTAATGATTGTTATTTGGCGTCATATGAGATTGTCGTAGGCGTAATACATGGCGTACTAATAAATTGCCACTGCACTTATTTTCGAGAACATGAATTTTGATCAAAGCATGGCATAATCTTCAATTGTACATAACACTTGTTTCAATAAAAAAAATAGAGTAACACAACACACTCCACAACAACTTAAGTTTTTGTAGTACAAGGATTTGACATAAAACGTAACGTGAAATGTCATGGTATTTAATTGCATCAATTACAGTGAAGAAAAATAAATAACATGTGAACTAAAAACTTAAAAAAAAGTCGTGTAATGAATAACATCCAAACGTAATGTGAAATGTCATGGTATTTAAACGCAAATGCCATAATGTATTCAAAGACAAAATGAGTTGCATTTATTAATAAATACTTATAAAAGTCATGTAATGAATAACATCCAAACAAAAAGTAAATAACCCAAAACAGTATGGCAAAGACAAAATTTCCCAAATAGTTATCCATGACAAATTTCATATTCATTTTGCGATTGTGACCAACCATGAAGCACCTTGTACACTTTTTTCATCAGACGTTTTCCGCCGTAGATGGTATCCTCCTTTTTGGGTCTTCCAGGTGGCCTCTTAGAACACGATGGTGGTTTACAAATAACTGCAGAAACTTCATGTGGAACAACCCACCCATCTGGACTACCAATAGGATGAATAATACCCTCATAGGCTACAACCCATTTCTTATTAGTATAATAATCTAAAATGTAGTCGTAGCACGAAAGACCTGATCGATAACGGATGGCTGCCACCGCGTGAACACATATGAAACCATCAAGGTGAAATTCACGGCAAGTGCATTGCCTTAAGTTTACAACATGCGATCTGCATTTATCATCAAACACCTCAAACTCGTATCTACATGAAGGCTTCACCTACAAAGTACAAAAATTCAAACATGTAATATATATATATATATATATATATATATATATATATATATAGGGTGCGGTTCCGGTGAGAACACTTCTTAACGTGAGAAATGAGAACGATCCAAAACGATGCACTTTACCGTTCACGAAAATGCACATTTATCGTTAAAGTGATGCAAAATTCTAATGTGCACATTTACGTTTAAACTTTTGCACAGTTGAAATGCACATTTTTCAAATTTTCATATGCACTTTTATGTTTTACATGATGCACGACACCGAAATCCGATGCTCCAGAATCATTCTCATTTCTCTTCTAAGATGGTGTTCTCATATGATCCTTACTCTCTCTCTCTCTCTCTCTCTCTATATATATATATATATATATATATATATATATATATATATATATATATATTGTTAGGTCCCTCAGACTTTAATTGTTTTGATGATGCCACCCTCTTGTTTGGTTCAGACTTTCATTCATGTACTAGACTTATCTACTACTTATCTCACACTGTGTAAATTATAGTATGCTCCATTTTTGTTAGATAAAAGTACTCAAAGTACCATAAACAAAAGGAAACAAAAATATCAAATTAAGAAAAGGTACGAAATTAAGAATGTACAATCTTTGTACAAATAAAACATACTGGAAGTATAAAATGCAATAAGGTAAATTCTTTTACCTTACAAGGATATTCAAATCCAACCAGTATAACTTTATTTGAGATAAAGATTGACTTGTCACTAAATTCAACTAGTAAATTGTGACAAATTTACATGTACACTTTCTGTACCAAATAAATTGCACTGGAAATATAAAATACAATAAGGTAATTTTTCTTTACCTTAAAAGGATATTTAAATCCTACCAGTACAAAATTATTTGATACAAAAAGACTGAAGTCACAAATTTACTAAGTCCACAGTATCTACAAAAGCACGGACACTACACACGCAGAGTTGCATACAAAGCCAAAACCTATAAATAGGTAAATAGTGCGTAGAAGGCCTAAGGTATGAGTTCACATATCCCACTTGCAAATTGATCCAATTGCGACTGAAGAAGATAATCTGCTCCAACACAAGAAGACGAAAGTACAAAACTTTGGACGTCAACGATTACATCCTCTCAACCAACGGAGGAGATTAATCAACCAAAGATGCCTATAAATATAGGCATAAGCATGAGTTCATATTCAAGCGTTTTGAGAGTCTTCTAAACAGAGAAATCATATTAAGCATTCAAAGAGATACCCAACATAAGAGAAAGTGCTCGTTTAAACTTTGCTCTCTGTTTAGACTCATGTTTCACTAAACTTCCTAGTCAGAACTCTCATTGCCATATTCTGGAAGTTTAGTTCTTAGTTGGAGGCTAGAAATTGTACTACATTTGAAAAGGTTGTAAACACTTAGAAGGACAATGTTATCTAGTCCTAAGTGTGGTAGAATAGAATAGAGTACTTTTTGATCCCCACTGGATCAATTGAGAAAATCTAAGGACTGAGTAACTTGGAGTGGTGTGTACTCCTTGTGAAACACCTTCAGGTCTGAGCTAGTTGTGTGATAACAGCCAGACGGGCACTAAGTGTATTGGGCTTAATACTTTAGTGGAAATCCATCTGAAAGAGGATGAGACTGGATATAGGAGGATTATACCACCTCTGAACCAGGATATATTGTGTGTTGATTCATTTTCAGTCAACAAAGCACACACCAAACACTTCTTCAACTTAGCAGAAACCTGAGCAGTAACCTCAGCAGCAATCTACTGCCCACCCCTCTGCTCACCTCTCTGCTAAAGCATACTGCTTATCTATACACTTATCTAAAGACATCTCAATGCTTTAGAAGTCTTCTTCACTCTTCGTTAGGATCTCTTTCTTAAAACAGAAGTCTCTAAGCTACTATCACCTTAGAAGTCCAACAGAAGACCTTGTGAGGGATTCTGTTCCAAGGTCAACAGAAGACCTCGGGAAGGGTTCTGTCACGAATACATCAGAACATCATTCCAAGGTATTCTGATTGAGACCTTCTGTCCGAAGCATCTCTGCCACTAAGCACCTCTGTCTTTGAAAATAAGGAACGCTCATTTTACCTCACTCAAACACTTCACTCAGGTTCCTTTGAGATCATGAAACTTATCTGATTATCACTCAGACTTCTCCTTGTCCACTTACTAACAGAAGGTTGTTATATACATAGAGGTCAAGACTTCCGTTGTGGATCCTTAATCTCTCAAAAGGTTACTGATCATCATATCTGGGAGGGAAACTTTTTAAAGTTGAAAAAGCTTTAAAAGTCTATTCACTCCCCCCCCAGACTTTTACCTCTATCTGGGACCATCAGATATATATATATATATATATATATATATATATATATATATATATATATATATAACTTTAAAAGTATATATATATATATATATATATATAAAATTCCAAAAATGATGTGCAATAAATAACTTGCATTATGGCAGCGTTGGTCTGAGACAAATATAATTGAGACTCAAATTGCGCAGAGAGAAGGGAGTTGTTGGATGTTGAACTTTCCCGATGCTCACAAAACCATTTATGCATGGTTCTCACAATGAATTCTATCAACTTGCAAATTGGATATTCACGAGCTTTGACAAAAACTGCATTCAATGTCTCCGCATTGTTAGACATCATTACAGAATACCGATTGCGGCTAGCATAAGCACGAGCCCATTTGTGATGACCGATATTCTCTAAAAACTTTCGGATTTGAGGGTCATCATAGTCAAGCATTGACAAGTACTCTTCACACTCATAAACAGAACCCGCACGGGCTGCCTGCAAAAATTTCCATGATATAGAAGATGCATGGCCACAAAATTTTGATTTTATATTGCCAAGGATGTGATACACACAATACCCATGTTCTGCATGAGGAAACACTACACGAACTGCATTTAAAATCCCCTCATGGCAATCCGACACAACATATAAACCATCCCTATGTTTAAGAGACTGTTTTAGCATTGTAAAAAACCATGTCCAATTAATTGTGTTTTCAACACTACAAATAGCAAATGCAAGAGGTGTTTGTGTCTTGGGTGCATGCGGTCAGTAAAGTTCCCTTGTAATACGACTTCAGAAAAGAGTCGTCAACAATCATTACGGGAATGCAATGCTCCCATCCCGACTGCCATGCATCAAGAGACATAAAAAAATATTCAAAATCTCCGTTTTCTTTGCATGAATATGACACAACAGAACCCAGATTTGCTGATTTCAACATATGACATAAAGAAACGAAGTCTACTGTACGACTCTTCTTCAGATCCCATTGCCAGTTTCATTGCGACTTCCCTAGCAAGCCAGGCTTTTTTGTATGACATGTAGATGCAATAAATTCTCTTCATGTCATCCATTATTGCTTGAGGTGGGTAATGTTTTCTACCAGTGTCACCGTAATGATGTTTGATAAGCTCAGCAATTAGAGATGAAGTAGCTTGGCGACTATTGGCTTGCCTTACATCAATTGAACATGTATGCTTCTGATCAAACCTGCTAAAATTAGATGTTCAAATTACAACTAACAAAACAAAATAGGGTTCAATGAAGTAACTAGTGTGCACAAAATGAATGAAAACAACAACCTCTTAATTTGAAACAAACCACTCTCATCCAATCTCACACCACGTACTGACCATTTGCATTTTTTCTCCGAACAAACAACGTGCAACACGTTAGGCGATGATGATTTGGTTCTATATTGGAAAAAATTGACGATAACATACATCTTCAACTTTAAAGATGGCTCTTTCTTAGATTTGAAAATAGCATTCATTGTTATTTCAATTGGTGCAGAATGTGATTCAGAAGATGGAATAACACCATCAAAAGAACCCTCTTCATACTCATTAAAACAAGATTCATTAAAAAAGATTCATCACTGGAAGACTAGTGTGAGTATTCATCACTGGATGGGACTACGGGTTTATTATCAACAACAAATTCCTGCGCATATCCAAAGGCTTCCATATGTTCAATGATATTATGATATAAAAAATCCATATACGATAGAATCATTGCAATAAAACAATAACACAAACCAACAAATATTAATTTACAATCTAAAACAAAAGTACGACCTTAACTTACCTTGTCTATCTCCAACAATCTCCACACGCAAAGAAAGCTTGTTAACATCCGCTTGAAGAGTCTTCATTTGAAGATAAAACAACAAAGTACTATCATCATTGACAACAACAGGAGGAGGACAGGGCTCAAAAACATAGGAAATGCGAATGAGTTTATTTGTGTAGTTTTCACCTAAGGACTTATACACAATTTTGCACAACGAACAAAATGATGACTACAAAGGGATGTCAACGAAAGAAACATATGAACTATGGAAACATATGTTAGACAACCATTGACCATCTAACTTCAACATGACTGGAACTGTTGAACACAATTGAGAAAGAGGAACAGAATCCATGATTGCCGCAAACGAAAATAGAAGAAAGAGATGGAACGGTAGAAGACGAACAAAAACGAATAAGGAGGAGGGAGTAGTGGAGAATTACCTTACGCAGAGGGGAATAAACATGAAAAGCGGTTACCTTAACTTCTGGAGTGGTCTCTTAAGCGAAAAAAAAAAACGTAAAATGTCTATTCCAATAACTGCTTAGACGATTTACTCAGGAGGGTAAAAAGGGAACGAATTTTTATCATTAAATGACCGCATGATGGTAATCGATGGCATGAGATATCATTTTGAAAAAAAAGATTGAACTCATAGATTGGGAAACACATAAACTCTAGTCATATGGGGGGTCATTTTTTCATAAATAGATTGATTGTTAATTTTCAGTTCACACTTCACGAAAATCCTTGCATATTCAGA